TTTTCATTGTTGGGTTAACCCATTTATGCCATTATTATTATTATTACAGATTTAATTTGCCACTTATTCCAAGAAATTAATGATAAATTAATTAATTTGATTTATAATTTAATTAATAAATTAAATATTATTTTTTATTTAACAAAAACAATTAACTTATACTATTAAGGTACAAGTTAAAAAGCATTCTAATCATTTTAGAAAAGCAGGCGAATCATGCTTCTATATTTCTTTTTTGGGTTGAACAAGTGTAATTATCCATTCCAACTATTATATATGTTTAATAAAAATGTAAAAGAAAGAAAGTTGGGAGTCAAACATAATATATCTTATCAATGTTTTTATTTATAAAATAGAATATTACTACTTCACCTATCGCATGAAGTGAAATCATATTCTATACTTAAATTTTTCGCAATCCAAAAATATTAATTTTGGAAAGAACACAGTTGGTTGGAACTAAACTAGTAGTACCACCATAAATCAGCAAGCGTGAGACTAATTGTCATCAGGGAAATATGACATTTCGGAAAATTGATGGTCGACAGAACCACAAACAAATGTACAAGTACAACGTATATTCCGATGTATCCATCCATTTGTTTAATAATAATTTGTTCTAAGTTTTTTGAGGCCGATGTGTTGGTACAATGTGGAGCCCCTGTGTTGGTATGAGCAGTACAAAGCTGCGTTAGCAACTGTTTTGAACATTCCCGGACAGGATCCTCAATTTCCAACCAGAAGGATGATTAACCATTAACTAAGTGCATGTTATTCTAGAACGTAAGAAACCTTTGATTCTAATCTTAAGGGGAAGGAAGATCATTTCGTTCCATTAATTTAAAATATTAGCCTAACATATTAATTTAATTAATAAAATAATCATATCTCCCACACACTTTCTATCATTTCTTCAAAACAAACGAATTCTAATAATTTAACGTTAGTGAATTTATATATATGCATATATATATATATATATAATTTGAATTGTACGATAAACAACATTTTTTTCATTTCTTTATGCACACACTAATGAACAATTATATAAAAGTAATTAAATTCAAAGATTGAATTCATAAATAAATAAAATATGATAATAATGTTTATTTGCCTTACTTCTTAAAGGTTAATAAGAATAGTATTTTAAAATTACATCATTTTAATAAAAACTTATTGAAAAAAATTAAAATATCATATTTTTAAAAAATGAATTATGATTGTTTTTATCTTTTTTCCTCTTAATTTTTTTGAAGGTAAAGTAGCTAAGTATTAATCTCATAAAATATTATATATGTAAACAAAATATTAATTTAATATTTATAAATTAAAAAAATAAAATTTATAACACAAATTTAACACTGTAAAATTTTTGTACAATTAATAAATTATTTAAATATATTCAATCAACTTAAAAATTAATATACATAATTTATATAAATAAAATATTAAATTTACCAATTAATTTTTAAAATATATTTATTAAAAAATAATATTTTTAAATTAAAATTCATAAAATTAAGAGTAATATATGTTATTCTCTATCACAATACATCATTTCCCTTTTTCTTTACTGAAATTTCTTAGAAACTCCACTTAATTAAAGGCAATGTGTGTTTAGCGTGTTTGATTGATGGTCATATTTTTAA